AACTTGCATGAATTCTCCAGCCACACTTGTTTTTATAGATTGCAGTCACTCTTCTACTTTCATTATTTTCAAAACTCAGCTCAAAACCCTTCTTAGCAGAATGATGTTTCAAAGCCTTCCTAAAAACAACTACATTGGCAAACACCAAGCCTACCTTTAGAATTGGGTTTCTTAACTCATGTTCTTCATCAAACTCTGGAAACTTGATGCTCATGGACTCTCCATCAGATTCAGGCTCTGAGAGGACCTCTGGATTACTTTGAATTTCATTTTCATGAGCATCAAATGCGTGATCAAAATCTGTCACTTCAATTCTTTGATTGACTTCATCATAGTCATTCTCTAAAGGTTGAAAGCTATCACTCAAAGTATCACCTTCAGCAAAATATTCAAAATTAGACATCACATCACATTCTGACTCACTCTCCACATAACTTGGATCATCACTATCAATGTTGTCATCTTCATGTGCATTGTTGTCTCCCTCATTCTCAACATCCACAACATTTTCTGTATTGGCTACATTGTCTGCTTCATGAGGAGACACCAATGAAACTTCAATTTCCATATCAATATCATCGACAAACAAATCGATCTGGATTATATTTGCAGAAACATATACCTTACATATATCCATTACACCTATATCACTATCAAGTATGCTCAATTCGGGACCATTACGCAACTTATAGAACACAATAGCATTAGGTGAGTACCCAGCTCCTTTCACTCAATTTATAACTTCAAAATAAGACATTAAATCAGGGTCTATGTCTGGCAGAACTAAAGTCATCCCTCCAATGTAGTCAAAACCATCAATTGTGAATCTCCATCCCCGGTGGATCTTCAAAGTAAACAACTGATCATTCATTTTTTCTGTATTAAAAAAAAAAACAAATCAATCAATAGAATCCCATAAAAAAACTGAAAAATTCCTCATTTCGAACTACATAAGCCCTAATTTCAACGAATACTTAAAACCGACAAAAGCCCTAATTTCAATGAAGCGTAAAAATCGACAACAATATAAAAAAAAAAAAAAAAAAAAACTTAATTTTTACTCATAATCATATCCTAAACCTTCAAAGCTCATCGGACAACAAAATTTCACCGTACCCACACAAGCTCATGGCTTAATCGAAAAAAACCCTAAAATCGAAAATTTTACCTTCTTCTACAGTAAGCGTCCTTCGAATGACTCAAACAGTAGTTCCTCCAGCCAATTACGCGAAAACACAGAGAGAGGGAGATTTTTGTGAGACTTTTTGCCTTTTCTTATGAAAATTCGAAACGAGAGGCAGAGAGTGAGTGCGTGTTGTTGTGAGAGAAAGAAAGGACTTGGAGAAATTTCGACACTCATCAGACGTAAGAACGAGGGTAGAAGACTAATTGAACGGTAAAAGTTAACACTGTCCAATGTCTGACCATTTACTGTTAAAAGTAGGGGGGTGAATGAGACCTTTTCGATAGTACAGGGCTGCAAACTGTAATTCACCCTAAAATATAATTTAATTGTCACTTGTTTCTTGATGAAATTCACACTACCATCAATCTCGTTCTCACTTTTCTTAATATGGTTAGAAATTCTGGTATAGTTTTCTCATAATTGAACAGAAAATTGTTCAATACAAGTGCTACTTTAAGAGCTTCCGTTCGTGAAACGGGCTATATAGTGCATTGAACTAATGATATAATGACTAATATACATGTAATTTAAAAAAAATTGTGAATTTATTGAAAATAATAATAAAAATAATTTCATTAATTAATAAGTTATTAATTAATGTATAAATTGATAATTATTAATTTGTAGATAAGTTAATACTTTGCTAAATTAATGAGATTAATTTTGAGGGTCTATTAGATATAACCCCCTTAAACATTCAAATAATAGGGGTAGACCCAAATTTATATTTGCCATTTTGATAACAACCCAAACTTTTCATAATTACATAATTACCCTCAATCAAATCCCACAAAACCCGTTACTTTACCTTTTGAAATAAAATCAAATCCCTTCCTATTTTCCCGTTAAATCACTATCATCCCAAACCCACTATCGAATAAACTGCAAAACCTCCCAGAACAACTTCCCGGTACGGCCGATTGAAAGGGGAAGACGTCTGCACTGCCGTGAAACGACGATTTTCGTGCACTCCGAGCAAGCTGTCATAGGTACGTCGTCCCCACTCGCTGAATCGCTATCATCCATCGATTTGTTGATATGTTTTGGCTAAATCGACAATCACGTTTGTGTAATTGCAGATCTGTTATAATCGCATACCGAATTCGAGCACTAAATCAGTGATATTGCAACAATTGATGGGCAGGACATCCACCAGAAGTAATATCGTCGTTGGCCGCCGCCGTCGCCGTCGTCGTCGCCGTCACTGCTCCAATCTAGGGTTACTCAAATCTAGGATTACTCAAATCTAGGGTTTTGATAATTCTTCGGCCCATAGTTGATTAACGAGATGCATAGTCGAATTACATCTGTATTAATATACTATCCCATATCATTTAATAGACTATCCCACTGGTATAATTTTACTACGGATCTCGTTAATCGACTATGGGCCGAAGAATCATCAAAACCCTAGATTTGAGAAGTGACGGCGGCGGATTTGTGTTTTAAAATTAATAGACTATCTCATATCTTTTAATAGACTATCCCATGTATCTAATTCGACTATGTGTTTAGTTAATTGACTATTGGAAAAATAATAATATATATGGAAACTGAATAATATGTTTGATTGAAATACTAATCAATCAGGGTAATTTTCCTTATTATATGAAAACGATTAAGGTAAATATTAATATATATGAAAAATAATAATATGTATGGAAACTGAATAATATGTTTGTTTGAAATACTAATCAATTAGGGTAATTTTCCTTATATCATGTAATAGACTATCTTATTGATCTAATTCGACTATGGATCTCGTTAATCGACTATGGATCCTGTATTATTCAACCACATAGTATATTAATAATTTCAATATAGTACATTGATCTGCTATGATAGTATATTGCGGTTATACTAGTGATATGAATTGTGTTACAAACAATATACCACTGAAATGACAAGAACATTGAGAATAACACCAACGTAAAGTATTCCAACATAACCAATAAAATAGTACATTAATAATCTCATAATTTCAATCTAGGGTTTTGATAAAATACATAAAACACATCATAACACAATCAAACCAATATGTCGAGTTAAAACTCTAGTATATTAATAATCTCATAATAGTATAATAAAATGATAATGGTAGTATCATACGGTATTCATAATAGTATACTATTGTATTACAACGGTTTAAAACTTAACCGAAGTTACCGAGCCATTACATCGTAAACACCTCTTTATAGCAACCAACCCACCAAACCTCAACAAAATCCGTACGAAATTCGCCATCGAAAAAACCTAAAATCATGAAACAAAATTAAAAATGCAGAATACTAAAAAATGATTAAATAGACTGCAAATACATTTGAATGAAAATACATTAATATCATTAAAAATAAACTTAAAATGCAAAATCCATACGCTAATTTAAAAAAAGACTACGAACTATATTTTAATGTACTACCCAGCACACTTAAATCGGCTGTTATAAATAAATAAACCAACTATCGATCGGGATCAAAAACATGAACTCGACCACAGCGGACAATTATTCTGATTATTGCATAAACCAACTACGAAGCTTATATAAAACAACTCTGGTCCGATCTCCGTGAACCATCCTCTTCTAACTCTGTCAATCCTCTTCCAAACAAACATCATCCGCCAAAAATAACGATGTATATATTAATATGATACGACATTAAAAATGCAGAATACTAAAAAATATATTAATATGATCAAAAATAAACTTAAAATGCAAAATTCATACGATAACTTAAAAAATACTACAAAATATATTTTAATGTACTACCCAGCGTCCTAAAATCCGCTGTTATAAACAAATAAACTAACTATCGATCGGGATCAGACTCATGAACTCCACGACAGCGGACAGTTATTTCAATTAATGCGTAAACCAACTACGATGTTCATATAAAACAACTCTGGTCCGATATGCGTGAACCATCCTCATCAAACTCTGTCAATCATCTTCCAAACAAACATCATCCGCCAAAAATAACGATGTATATATGACGGAATAATTTTGTTAAAAAACGTTCTACTTAATAGAATCAAGTATCAACACAACACTTAAAAATTTCTAACCACCGTAATCGACAATCCTAGACATTGAGCGAAAAATAAAAACGAATAACGCATTCATACCCGGTTAACAACGTCCAACAACGAACGCTCAAATTCGATCCTATTTCAACGACGGTGCAGAAATCTTCAAAGACGATAAAAAACCGCTGGAACGCTGAAGAGAACCTTCGAAAAATATTGTACACGATTTGATATAACGGCCAATGATCTCACGTAATTTTATTCCGTGATTTTAAGCAACGTATCAGCAAATCTCAAATCACGTAGTAAAGGAAATAAATGCCGTTTAAAAATAAAATAGGGGTATTAAAGGAAAATTATATAATATATTTTCCCAAGTTGGCAAAATTGGATCTATCTCAAAAAGGGGGAAAAAAATTGGATCTACCTCGTTAGAAAATATGAACAAGGGGTTATCCCTAATAAACCCTAATTTTGATGGTCCTAAATGTATTATTTATAGATGTTTAACTGTATTATCAACTAAATAATATCATAAAGGTTCTAGCTAGACATTGCAATACCCCTCTTATATATTTTTAATATTTTACAGATCATATATAAGATCACAAGTGTGCGTGCTAAGGGTGCCTAGTAGGTTGAGTAAGGAGTCAAATAACCCGACTTCGGATCCCTGCCAAACACTGTTAGATTGCGTACATGGTTGAGATTATGCAGCAATGGATTATGCTTTCTCAAAAATAATGTACCAAGATTACTTCGAAAGAAAGCATAGAAGTGAGTTGATAAAACGAAGATATAAACAATAACAAATAAAGACGTTCGGCGCACAAAGGAAGGGTATCAAAATCGAATATTTAGAAATTTCCCATTGAGATAACTGCATCATGTAATAATTCATCAAGAAAGAAACTAAAGTTATGACAAACCAAGTCGAAATAAAAAATAGCTCAAATTATCGGAGCTAGTGGAATGAATAAAAGAATTTACTATTATGAAATAATCGAATTATTATGTAAATAAGGTTTAATTTAGGTGAGGGAAGAGGCGGATAGGAAGACCCTTGGCGGGAATCGGCATTGGATCGACAACAAATTTACCATCATTAGGAATGACCTTCTCGAACTTGAACCTCTTGACAAGATGGTGCATGAACACCAGAATCTCGAATCTTGCGTACTCTAGTCCAGGGCACATTCTCGGCCCCCCTCCGAAAGGAACAAAAGTGTAGGGTGCGGGCCCTGCTCCCTGAAATCTTGATGGATCGAACTTCTCCGGTTCCGGAAAGATTTCCGGGTTTTTGTGAGTAGCGGTGGCACTCCAGTATAGCTTGAAACCCTTTGGAATAGAGTAACCCTTGTACGAAAAATCAGCAAAGGCTTCTCGGAATGTTCCGGGGACGGGTGTTGCAAGTCTCATGACTTCACAAGCGACGTTCCATGAATATTTCATCTTCTGTAGGTCTTCCCAGTTGAGTGAATCGCCTGGAGATTTTGATTTCAAAATCTCCATTTGTTCGTTGTAGACTCCATCGTAGATATGGGGAAGCTCGGCAAGATACTTGACGATAAAAGTGCAAGCAACGCTAGCACTATCACGACCTCCAATCAGCAAGCCCAAGATCTTATCCGCAATATCAAACTCTTGCATGAAATTGCCATTTTCATCGCTGGTGAGAAGCATGTGGGATAGAATATCTTGTGTGGGCGAAGCTTTCCCTTGGGCCAAATCGATTTTCCGTTGTTTGATGATGGAAACAAGCTCTTGTCTGACAATCTTGGAGGCCTTAATACCCTTACTGAAGGGTGTTCCGGGCAAGTCAATGGGGATGGCAAACAAACTTGACGCCAAGAGATTAAAAGGTTTCGATAATCTATCAACCTGTTGAGGATCCTCAACACTTGCAAAAAGCCTGCAAGCTAATTGGAAGGTGTAGTCTTTTGCAAGAGGTAAGACTACGACTTCTTTCTTGTTCTCCCATCCCTCCTCAAAGTGTGTTTGGGCCATATGGTCCATTTTACCGATGTAGCGACGAAGGGCTTCGGTTTTCAAGAAAGTGTGGAGCATTCTTCTCAATTTGATGCCCTCTTCTTCGGAAGAAGATCGAGTGGAAGATGGGAAAATTTTGTCGATGCCACTTGGGAACCATGCCTTGACAAGCTTGTTCTCGTTTGAGAACAAGAATTTGTTGCCGCTCGCACCGCTCAAAACGGCGGCTTTCTCGCCCACAAGGTGAGTTCTGAAAACAGTGGATGAGTACTTAGCTACTCGGTCCAAGACGAACTTCTCCGGGTGTCCCTTCCACCCGGCCCACAGGAAATGGAGGCTCTCCCCCACCAGGGGCCACCCCATTTTTCCTGGCGGCAGGGGACCGGCGGCGGTGGTGGTGGTGGAGGATTTGTTCTTGTTAAAGAACAAGTGGTGGTGGAGGCCGAAAAGGAATGCAAATGATATTGAAATCGAGATGGAGATGACTGAGACTAACAGGATCATCGTCATCACTTCCATAATATTGTGTTTGTAGGCTTAATTTCTATTTGTGTATGTTTATTAACTGAATGTTTTGGTTATGTTTTATCGAAGTTGGACAGTTACATATATATAGTACGTAAAGAGTCAAACATTAATCTAAGTTGGCTGCCATCAAGAATTAAATAATGACTTAATTATATATAAACTATATAGTTTGATATAATTAAGTGTGTATATAATATATGGATGGTCAAAAACAAGGTGCTGTACAGCAGCATGGGACAGTTTGTCGTGTAGTGAAAATGCACAATCAAGGAAGGAGCTGAGAATCCCATTTCCAAAGTCTGCACTACTGATAGGAAGTTCATCAGCAATTATATCCTTATTACGTTAATGTACTATCAGTGACAGTATAATTTTACTGTCAGTAACAGTATGATTACCGTTAATGACAGCACAATTACGGTCAACGATTAGCGGCGGACGTAAAAAAAATAATAATAAAAAAATAAATAAAAGACACTAAAAAAGTCAACGCCGGAATCTGGCGGCGGAAAAAGACAAAAAAAAGTCAACGCCAGAATCCGGCAGCGGAAAAAACAGACCACAAAAAAAATTGAAAAGTCAACGCTGGAATCCGGCGGCAAAACAATTATTTTTGAAAAAAAAAGTCAAAATTGGATTTTTGTGGTCAAAATTGATTAAATTGGTGTTACAATTAAGAATTATGTATATAGAATTGTGGGTAATTTTGTTATATACATGAATTTTTCCTTTATTTATAATAAATATTAAGGAAATGTGTTTATTAGTGAAAGAGATATAGCCCCTAAACCTAAAATAATAAAGATGTTTAGTTAGTCACTTTTAAAAAAAACTTTCTTTAAAAATAATTGTCAATGCTCTTTATAATAAAACTTGTACTATCCCCACTAACTAACGTGACTAACTAATCTACTATGCACTAATATTAGTTATCCTATTTCCACGCAACAAAGTAGTTAGGGCTCTTAAGATATATGTATCTGTTAGAAAAAAACTTATTAGAACTAAATGACAAGCGCAATTAAATCTTTATTTCATATTCTTTATAAATTTCATTTCAAAAATACCCTCCACAGACAACAAATAAAATATGCACCAAGTAATATTTAATTTGTATTTATCATTTTTTTATCATACATTTTCCATTTTTATTTTTGCATCTAATATTTGTTTTTAACGTAGAACACGATCTTTTTTTTCTTTTCATTTTAGTATTTTTTAGTATTATAAAAATCTATTTTTTTTTCCTTTGTTTCTACATAATAATGAAAATTATGATTTTTTTTTTAATTTTGTTTTGGTCGTAGTCACCTATAGACACTCGTAGAAATTTGTAGTTTTCCATAGTTATTTGTACTGCCATAGTTACTTATAGACAGTGTTCTAAAAATCGGTCGAGGCGGCCGATTAATCGGTCGCCGAGGCGGATGCGGTCCAAAACCTTTACGATTTTAGTGTAAATGTTTGAAAAATCTGTTTTTTGCCCGTGAGGCGGTTCGAGGCGGTCTGAGGCGGTCAAACCCTTAAGGCGGGTCAAACTTCGGTGGCAAAAATCGGCAAAAAATCGGTCAAAAATTGTTTTTTTTTTTAATATAAATCAAAAATAAAAGTTGGGATCTTAATAAAAAAAATGAGTTTATGCTTTATTTTGTTTATGTTAATTATTATTGTTAAAGAACTAATGATGTATGCCAAGAATGTACATAAATTCAATAAAATTGCATTTTTATTTATATTTTATAAGGATATTTATGTATTATAATCTTATTATTATTAAACTTTTATTATGTTATTAGAATATATACATGATGGAGATATAACTATGTTTAAATATTTTTTATATATGTTTTGAGTATTTATAAATAATATGTAGAAATATATTATATTAAATTTTAAAAACCAATTTATTTCCGATTTATCACCGATTAATCACCGCAGAACCGATTAATCGTGAGTCGGTCCCTGACCGCCTCCGACCCGATTACCGCTTTTTACAACCTTGCTTATAGACACCCGTATAAAACCCCTAGTAATCGTAGTAACTCATCGTCATTTGTACTGCACAATTCGAAAACCCTAATTCCCTCTTTGAGCCCTAGCCGCCAGCGAGCCATAGACAACCATAGACACCTACATAATACATACTCATCCAAACATAAAACCCTAGATCTACAACCACCGTCGCCATAGCCGCCAAAATAAAAACCTAGATCGGCAAACCCGTCACCACCACCGCCCCTAACCGCATCCATAACTACCTTAACCATACTCACGGCCTCCATAGCCGCCTGCACTCACCATAGTCACCTCCATAACAGCCCCCACAATATGCATCGCCTCCATAGTTGCCGCCATTCACCATGGCCGCCTCCATAACAACCCTCACGTTACCCGCCGCCTCCAACAACCCCCATGTTACCCGCTGCCTCCATGAAAACCCCCAACGCCGCCAAAGCCACCCACCATACTCGAAGCAGAAGAGAGAGATAGAGATAGAGAAAGAGCAACAAAGCGAGATAGGCATGTAGAGAGAACAAGAGAAAGAGAGAAAGATAGAGAATAAAAGAAAGGAAACAGATCTAGGTTGGAGAGACGTAAATTGAGGTTATATTTAGGGTATAAAGGTAAGTTAGGGATTAAAAAAAATTAGGGATGTGAGACATATTATATTTTGAAATAAAGATGTATTTTAAAAAAAATAGTTTGGGGTTATCATTTAGTTCTAATTAAGTTTGCTATGAGTGACCTAAGCATATTAACCCCAAGTAGTTATTCCATGACTTCTTTTGCTAAATACTAATCTATTACTATACCCATTAACTCCTGAAAACTAGGAAAGTATTATAATATTTGCATAAAATCATAGAATTGTGTTTACAAATCCCATATAGGGTTCGAATAAAATGTTATAAACTAAAAAAATTAGCTACTCATAATTATAATTAAACCAAAAGGATAATTTATATGAAAATAAATAAAACTATGCTTAAAATCTTCGATTTCTTCGTCTTTGTTTCTTGCTTCTTGCTCTAGATTCTGTAAAATTATGTCAAATTGTCATGCTTGACATGGATTTTTATATAGTGCTAAGATTTGGTAGAAAGGTGGTATTTTCTTTGAGGAATTAGAATTTCCAAATTGTGCAACTCGTGGACTCGGACAACTGTCCAAATTGTAGTGTATGATCTCGGACGACTGTCTCAAAAAGCATGGCATAATTCTTCCTTTTGAGAATCTCGGACGACCGTCTCAACTTTCAAGGTATAATTAAGACAACCGTCTCAAAATGCGTAGCTTACTGCTGCCTCTTCTCAATTCGGATGGCCGTCTGGACTTGTAGGTCATTTCTAGTACGGCCGTCAGAAGCTATTTTGTGTACTTCGACTTGATTTTCCATTCTCGTCTGTTTCACTATGTTTCTTTTTACCATTTTGAGCTACCTCCGTCCGATTCTTCAATTACTCACATAAAACATATAAACCAAGTCTTTAAACACCATATACTCAACAAAATCTCACAAAAGTTCTCATAAAAGAATATAATCGAGCGTAAAATATACACTCAACAGTATGACAAAAATAAGAAGAGATTTTCTAGAGCGAATAGTCTTTAAGTGAGTCTTGTAATTGAGTGAGTAATATAGTAAAAGTGGTTTTATCTCCTATCCATTACTCCTCTCTATTTTGATTTATTTCGATAAGTAATATACTAATAGTGTACCGCCACACATCTAAAGGTGCTTGGACATTTTCAATGCAAGATCATGGTTGGCAAGTCTGTGACTGCGACTGCACATCTGAAGGACTCAAAGTAAGTTAATACCTAATAGATGAATTATCCATTCTTGTGATAAAAGAAAATTGATATTGCTAATTGGGTCAACACAATGGGTCTATAATTTCTTAATCTATTAGGTCACGAGCCCAAGTTTGAAGTCATTTATAACGAATGCCCAATCACCTTCAGATAAGGTTTGGGCCCGACAATCTCAATTAATCAACTCTAGCCCAATCAACGAGGTATAAATAAATGTTTTAATCATTTGTTAAGGTGTGTTTTATTATTCTAGCAATTCAACTGCTCATATTCTCTCGACAACATCTACAATCCATACGCCTGACTTGAACATCGGAGGGGTTTCCGCGGGATCAACCCCCGACTTAGTTTACCTGTATTCTAGTCGCAGGTATCTCAAGATCATCTAACTCGTGAGCCAGTGACTACCTTGCTCATCCAGCTCATCCTATCATAATTAATCTAAGTGATGATCTATCTCTAGCATCATAAAAAATGTAGTAAAATTTGATTTTGAATTATGTTTTTCACCAACTGCACTTTTGTTGTCACAAATGTCACGAGAGCTTGTTGGAGAAAATAATGAAACACAGTGTACCACCCCATTTTCGGAAAAATATTTTTTACCACTTTTATGTGCATATTTGTGAAATTAGAATTTATAATAATTCTTGCATGGTTAGTATTTACGTAAATTAAGTAATTATGTGAAATATATGAATTATGTGATTATGTGAATTATGTGATTATGTCGAGATAGTATGTCGAAATAAATTATTTTTCATAAACTAGGATTTTATTCTTGCTATGAATTTAAATGAGCATTTCATCATATTTATGCATGCACAAAATTTTAGAAAATAAATTTTCTCATGCATTTTAGGATTTTTAATTAATATAGAAAATTAATATAGAAAATTAGAAAATCCTCCCCTCATTTTTTCTTGAAATTTTCGGACATCAATACACACACACACACACACACACACACACACATGATTTAAAAATTGCATATTAATTAGTAGTAGACATGCATTAGTGTGGTTGTACTTTGAGCATAGAAAGAAATACCTAAAAGCTAGCCTCCCTACCCTCTAGACTAGGCTTGCTTTTCCCCACTCCCACACACCACTTTAAGACCAAAGGTATTTCTTCTTCCTCTCCCGTTCATTTTTTGGCAGCCATAACACCTCCACCATAGCCACCACCTTCTCAAGCTTGAACCACCCAAGAACCACCACCACTCCTATTTTTGAAAATTTCAAAATCACCCCCACAAAAAGATGT